TCTTTCTTCTACAGAGGAGGTTGTGGGTTTGAATCACTGACCTTTCAGTTAGAAACCTAATGCTTAACCTACAGCATCACCAGCAAAACATCTATGAGATCAACATTTGTGTTTTATAGTATTGAATCTGCTAAGAAGTTCATAGAGACCCCTGGTTAAGAAGTACAAAGATACAGGAAGATTTCTTTGTAAAACAGAATAAAGAAAGAAAACAAAATAAAGTGGCACTCAATTATTAGCTAAACAAGAGTAAGAAAAAAAAATCGGAACTCTACAGAAAATACTGAAATGAAGTCTCTAGAATAAAAGGTGAGCTGCTTGCTGAAATTTTCAGGTTACTTAGATGATCAGACCTATAGAGAAAATGTGCGCATCTGTTTCTCAAATCAAGGAGAAATAAAATGGATAGACTTTGTCACAGGAGCAAAAGAGGGAGTAATTCTATTTAGATAAATAGTTAAAGAAATACTAAGTAAAGCCAAAGATGCAAGTAATGGTAACCTACAATTAAGGGACAAAGAAGCAATGTGGTAAGTACTAGAAGGAGAGGTCAAAGAAGAAGCATTGAGGAAAAAAAATCATGGAAAATCAGCAAATATCCATACACAAACTAAAGTCAAAAGGTTGCAAATTTAAGAAAAAGGAAAGGGAAAAGTATCATTTCAAGGTAAGAAAACAAAATTTGACAATGATTATGAGTGTGATTTTTTTTTTTTTTTTAATGGTGCATTTGAATCAATGAAAAAGGCAAGGAAAAAACAGATGAGTTTTAAAAGGAACATGTTTTGAATCTCTGGGAATGTCAAAACTGCCGTTTTGATGTGGTGTAAATGGAAGAGCACAGAATTTGTTGGGTAAGGGTTAGAGAGATGGTAAGTGTATAGAGCTAGATGGAAATATGCTAAGAAACAATAGAAAAAAGAGAAAACAGAAAATTATGCCAGAGACCGGTAATTTAGTAAACCCTTCAAAATTTTATTTTAATTAGGTTTTAACATACCTTTATCTTTGGAGATTTTGAAAAAATAAAACCAAATTAGGTTTACTTGCATGTACCCCTGTACAAAAGGAAAAAATTTTCTGTTGTTACACAATGAGGGTTTTTAAATGTATAGCTTTGTATTATCATATGATTCATATACCAAAAGGAAGGTTATTTCACTAAGTTACCATTTTAATATGAGAATCTATTAGTATAATAAAATATATGCAACATAAAAAGGGAAAAATAGAAAATTTTCTAATTCACCAATTAACTTACCTTCTAATTCTGTAGTTGCTGCTGCTGTTGTTAAGTGCTGTAGAGTCGGTTCTGACTCACAGTGACCCCATACAGGGCTTCCAAAAAGCGGTGTGTTTGAGCCTTTCAGTCAGTGCTTTATCCCATAGCACCATACCAGAGCTCCCTCAATCCTATAGTAGCTGCTGAAAACTCAGCAGAAAACCTAAAGCACTCTGATGATCACAGATCAGAATCACTAGTTCAAATGGGTGATCTGGTCCTTCCATTTTATTAATCATTTCTTTGAACACATTTTTAATATCAAATAAAATTCATACAGAAACAGAAAGAATTGATATATAATACAAGACAATTCTGAAAATTATATGGATTGTCTGGGGATTTTGCCTTCGAGTGTCAGGCATTGGCATATTTATTCACCAAGTAACTATATGAAGGTATTCCTTTCAAATGAAGATACATCCAAATATTGGGTTATTTATAGAGAGATTAAAAGACATCTGAGCATTTCCTTAAAGACATTTATGTAAAAAGTCAGATCTTAAAATATGAAAGTAACTCCAAAAGTATTAGTAGAAAATCATATACATTTTTATTAAGCAAAAATATCCAGTGTGAACCTATTGTTTCTTTGATATTCCCCACATCAAAACGGTAGTTTCAACATCCCAGGGATTCAAAATCTGTTCTTTTTAAATGTTCTTTGAGTTTGGGGAACAAAAAGACTTCTGAGAGGCCATGATCAGAGTAAGGTTTCCCAGCAAACTTCTCATAGGACAGCCCTTACTATCTGCAAAGAAAGAGCAGGTATATTTTCATGATGGAAAAAAATATTTTGGTTCAATTTTGTGAACTTTTTCTCACCAATGCTGTTTTCTAATCTAAAAATTACTTCATAATAAGCTCCCATGATCATCCTGTGTCCTTTGATAAAATGTATCAAGATTACCCCTTGTTGTCATTGTTGCTGTTGTTGTTAAGTACCATCGAGTCGGTTCCAACTCATAGCGACCTTATGAACAATAAAACAAAACACATCCCAGTCTATGGCAACCTCACAGCCATTGTTACACTTGAGTCCATTGCTGCTGCCATCGCGCCAATCCATTTCACTGGGGGTCTCTCTTTTTCACTGACCCTCCACTTTACTAGCCATGATATCCTTCTCCAGGGACTGGTCCCTTCTGATATGTCCTAAGATGAGACACGAAGTCTGATTATCTTGGCTTCTAAGAAGCATTCTGCTTGTACTTCTAACACAGGTTTGTTTGTTCTTCTGGCAGTCCATGGTACTTTTAATATTCTTCTCAAACACTACAATGCAAATACATTAATTCTTCTATGTTTTTCCTTATCATTGTCTAACTTTCACATGCATATGAGGCTACTGAACATTCCATTGCCTGGGTCAGGCACACCTAAGTCCTTAGGCACGTCTTTGCTTTTGAATACTTTAAAGAGATCTTGTATAGCAAATTTGTCATTATACCCCCTGGGAATTCCAAAACAGTCACTCTCTCCTTCTGAGCTGACCTCTCTGCCGTAGATCTAACTAGCCCACCAGATTCCCCTCAGAAGCCACGTTTTGATTGGACTTTATTTTGAAGGTACCCTAGTGAGACTAAGACAAGTGTATTACTGAGAGACCTTGTCTGCAGCTACCCGCTTATTGCAGAGACATATTTAAGTATGTTTTGTTTGGAATAAACCTGTGCATGTATGAACAATACTTTTCAACTTACTTTCATAAGTCATAAACCTAAAGCAAATAAATAACCCAATGAGAAATTAATTCCCAGACACAAGCAATTTAAACCACAAGATAATAGTCTTATTCTATCTATAGGATCAGAATCCTAGCTGACCTCAATAAGTACTCACAGCTATTAACAAATTAAATACACATTTGTTAAACAATAATAATAAGCACTAAGTTTACTTTCAACTAAAAAGAACAAGAAGTATTAAAAGGATTAATTGCCTCCCTCAAAATTCAGCTGCTCACAACCTGCCAACTTACCATTTACACTGTTCACACCAGTGCCATTTTTTTCTTGACTCTGAGCTCTGTTCCTCTGACTTCAACAGAAGGGTCTCTCTTCTATAACAGTAGTACATTACTGTGTGGCCTTAATAGGTTTTGGAGTGCTGGTGTGGCGCTGTAGGTAAACGTGTTGGATTGCAAAGCCAATTTGAACCTCAAGGTTGGCAGTTCAGACTCAACAGCTGCTCCTCAAAAACCCTATACAAAGCCACTATGGATCAGAACTGACTCGATGACAATTAACAACAACAACAACAGTCTTTATTTGTGTTTTTTTCCCCTTACTGCTTTATTTGCATTTTTTCCTCACTGGAAACATTCTATACATGAAAGTCCAAAACAAAAAAGAAAATATTAATAACAAAAACAATATGGTGGAATATCAGTTACTAGAGTACAAACCCTTTGCTTCAGAGAGATGAGGACCCCACTATGGACCTCCAGACATCAGGCCACTGATTTAACCACTATTTTGTGTCTTCCCTTGTATCTATCCATTGAATAATTTCTTTCATATAAAGGACAAATCCCTATGGTGCTTTACAATTGTACAAGGTATTCTCACACTTTCCCACACAGTTCTTATGACAATCTTGGAAAGTCAACACAGATGTGGAACCTGGAATAAGAGGATTAAGGCCACACAGCCAGATAGTGGTGGAGTCAGGACCTGTTTCTCATTCCATTACAAAGTGGAAAAATGGAATTCCCTAGGGCACAGATGGAATATATGGCTTCCATAGCTATTCAAGTAAGATTGATATACCATAAAGTACACAGTGACAGAGTTTCAGACACCAAGGCACAGTCTGGACAAGTCAAATGGCCATTAACATGAGTTATATGTAACACAGGGTGCCCCTTCCAAGCCCATAACAGGACCCCTAAACACTCACTTGACAACCCTGGATAGAGTCCAAATAAGACACTATAAATGAGTCATAGATCTTTACAATACACAAAAGAAGGTTTGTAGCATAACATTTTATGTCTGGGTAAGCGTAAAAATATAATTGACAGAAATATGATTAAGGAAATTCTACCTTCAGACAATTATGGATACAAACCATAAAACCAAATATTAAGGCAGGCAGAATTTTAGAGATAACCCATAACAAATGTATATAAAATCTGAAAAAGAATGAAGCTGACTACTCTGTTCTGCCTCTGAAAAGCATGCAAGACTCCCAGGAGCATCCAGCAGAGTGTGGCCCTATTTCTGGCTCACCTATGCCATAGATTTACAGCTCTTCTTACATGACCATCAGGATGCTCTGACTCCTGCTGAGACTTGAAATCAGGTTGTTCTACCTTCCCTGAACACACACACTGACTTAGAGGAAGAGTGGATACGATAGCTTGCTTCAATAATAGGCAAAAATGCAGTTAGCATTTGTCACAGTGCTGTAAGATAAGCATTGGACTGCTACAAGGTCAGTGGTTCAAACACACTAGCCGCTCCTTGAAAGCCCTATACAGGGTCACTATGTGTCATAACTGAGTCAACGTCATATAACAACAATGTTCCCAAATGAATAAGTAGCTTGTGCCTAGTTGATACAACAGTCACAGAGGGGGGCAGGGGGTAGTACATCTTAAGATGGAAAACAAAGGGAATGCAGGGTTTGCTTACCCTTCAGCTTCAGCTAACTGACTTGTGACAAAGTAACCAAATGAGAAAAGAGAGCCACAATGAAAATGAGATATATTTGTTCAGTACCTGCTAGGGATTCTGCAGGTGATTCTGAAGCCATGGCAACAAATAATCTCTTTAAAGGTCTTTCGCATCTCCTGGATTCGGAAGGCATATATCAGAGGATCAATCACAGAATTACACATGATTAGTATGAGGTACATGTTGAAGTGAGACATAAAGCAAGAACAATAGAGATTCTGAGGACAAGAAATCATTAAAATGAGGTGGAGGAAGAAGGGGGCCCAGCACACAATGAAGATACCCAGCAACATGGACAGGGTGACAGCACCACGCATGTTGGTCCTCTGCCTCATAGACTTGTATCCAGGCAGTACTGCTATCTGCTTGACATGAGTCCGTGCCATGAGGAACATGTGTATGTACAGGGACACCATGAGGAACAGCATGGTGAAAAACATGGAAATGAGGCAAATGATGACATAAGTAGATTCGTAGTAAATGATGAAGATGATGCCACACCCTGTGCAGAAGGTCCAGATGCAGGCGATGATAACTCCTGAGCGCCTCACAGTCATGATGTAGTGATAGCGCAGGGCATAGAAGATGGTGACATACCTGTCCACTGCGATGGCCAACAAACTGCACATAGAAGCCACCACGGAGATGCAGATCATAGAGTCAAACACATTGTCAATGTGACGCACAAAAGCATCAGCTATCACTAGATGCTTGTTATTTAGCAAGTATATGGTGATGGTCTCCCAGGCATTGGACATGCTTACCAACATGTCAGCCACAGCCAAACTGCAGATGAAGAAGTACATGGGTGAGTGCAAGTTCTTGTTCTTCACTATGGCCCCAATGACCAAGATGTTCTCCAAGAGGCTGATGAGACCCAGAGTCAGAAACACTTCTGCAGCGATACCCATGTCTTCACATGGTGAAGACTTGTTCTTGACATTTGGTTCTGAAATGTTGCCCTCTGTGGCATTCAGGTTGAGATCCAAGAAGTATGAGTGAAATGAGGAGTTCATTGTCGGAGGAAAATGCCTCCTCTTCTTGGCAGTAAATTTACTGTAAAATAAGTTTTGAGATCATGATCCAGCCTACCAAAGAAATACAGCAGGACACCAAAAGCAAGCAAAGTCTAAGAAAGGGACATCTGCAGGGATACACGTCTAAGAGTCCCATCTGGCTTGCCCCATCTTACATAAAGCTCTTATCTCCAAAGTGCTGTCTCTGCAGGTTACAGGTTTTCAACAGCTCTTCCTGTATTCTTTTCCCCAAGCTCCCATTCTTTCACACACATTCATCTTTGTGTGACCAGGACAGTGCCACTTTTTTGGGGGGTTTTGTTTTTGTTTTGTTTTTTTGCCTGTTGTCCTGGTGCCCAATTTCACTCTCAGAAATGTCCCATTAAGTGTTTGCTACAAAATTCACTCGACCTTCCTGATTATCGCACTGCTATGGCGCGTGCATTATATCATCTTCAGGTGAGCTCAAATATTTGAAGAATTTATAGGCCCATATTCCTTTAAGAGAAATAGGTGCATCTTAACTTCAACATCCATTAAGATTCAGTCATCATTAAAATGTTACTGTCTTCACATTTGTAAGCTTAAATTACACGTGCATGTTAAAATTAAGGGAAGCAGAATGTTGTTTTCCCTCAATAAATACTTTCTCAAGATTAGTTGAAACTTCAAGAAGTCTGACTAATAATCTTATAAATTCCACATGAGCACAAACTGGAGCAGCAAAGCATGTAAATTTGCTAAGTACTAGCACAAGATAGGAGTCCTTGTGTGGCGCTGTGGGCTAAAGCGTCAGACTGCAAACTCGTTTGAACTGCAAGGTCAGTGGTTCAAGCTCACCAGCTGCTCCTTGGAAACCCTATACAGGGTCACTATGGGTCGGAATCGACCTGACGGCACTTAACAAGCACAAGATAGGGGGTCCTGGTGTGGCGCTGGACTGCAAAGTAGGTTTGATCTTCAAGGTCTGTGGTTCAATCTCACCAGCCGCTCCTTGGAAACCCTATACAGGGTCGCTATGGGTTGAAAACAACTGATGGCACACAACAACAGAACAATATATCTCACTCTTTTTTGTGCACGATTGCTCTCTTATTATATATTCGAAAATCCACCCACTCCGCCACACACCGCACACACACAGAGCCTCTCAGGACAGAGAATTCCTGTCATCATTCTCAATATTAATATTGATAATAGCATTGAATTGTTATCCTTTGTTGTATAGTTCTATTTCAGGTGTTGATTAATTTAGTTATTGATTAAACTTCACACCAACCTCTAGGAGAGCTGGTAGCATAGTGGTTATGAATTGGGTTGCGAACCTTAAGGTCAGCAGTTCGAAACTGCCAGCTGTTCCGGGAGAGAAAGATGAAGCTTTCTGCTCTCATAAAGATTTACAGCCTCGGAAACCCTGTGCAGGGTTGCTATGAGTCAGAACGACTCCACAGCACATATCAACAACAAGACAAGCTAGCTGCCAGCATTTTCACTCTTCCGCAGCTGAAAGTAAGCATAATTTTGCATTCACTTCGTGCAATTCCAAGTAAACAAGTTGTCATTTTTCTTACCAGTCCTGCTTCCGCAGTGCCTCCTTCTCTTCCACTGCAGCAAGTCAGACCCCAGCTCCGAGGTTGGCCTCAGCCGGTACACCTGGCATCCACCGGCTGTAACAGCGGGAGCCTAGAGTCATCCCCTCAATAACACGATCCTCTAGACTCCAGCAGTGCCAAGTAGCGCAACCTGGCCCCGCCCAGCAAAGCAACCTGGCGACGCGGTCCGGCCCCTCCCCCTCCCAACAGGAAGCCCCCTAGCCAAGCCCGTGTTCTCAGTACCACCTAGCGGCACAACAGAGCAATGTTCCCGCCCTGACTGACCGCCTGTGCTCCTGCTGCTTGGGCCCATACTTGAGCACAGGCAGTAGAAAAATTCTTCTATCCCTGATTGATGAAAAAAATCTTCCCCCAAAACTCATTCATTCACAGTTTTTATTTTATTTTATTTTATTTTTTTCTAGCTGGTTGTAGTTTTTATATTTTCTTCTTTACCTCTTAGCGTGAGTCAGGTGAAAAGAGTACATTCGGCTAGGTTCTCAGATACCTCTGCGACTCCGGTTCCCCCAGATGCGGGGGTCCCTGATGAGTGTTCTCTGGCAAAATGAAGCCTGGAAGCCCTACGCTGGGACTGCTACACACCACTTTCTTTACCCAACACTTCACCGTTCACCACTAGGACTGTGTTTTCATGCTCAGCTCTCAGAGCAATTGTGTCTCTGTTACTCACGCAAAAATAGAAGAACGGTTTTCCTCTAGTGGAATATTCAGACATTTGGCGATATTTTCTGGAACCACCATTCTCTGTCTATCTCGAACACTAAACTTGAACCTCCAAAAGAATCTTTATGATACAAGAAAAAGAGGTACATAAACAAAGGCGTTATCTAAAATATGTTGGGTAGACACCATCTGGGGGAGGGGGTGAAGGAGGACCCTTTGGGGTAACATTGCCAGAGCGGATTACACCAAAGTGACTATAAACAATTTTGTGCAGTGTTTCAGCAGAAATTTATTATTTTTTATTAAAATGTCCCCGTAATTACGTGTAACATAAGCCCAGCTTCCATGTATCAGTGTACCTACAAGGCTAAGATTCTATGTTACTTTTTGAACCCTATAAAGCATAGTCATAGCTATCATTATTACCCAATTACAATGACACAATCATTTCATCTGTACTGCACATGGTACAAGTACGTCCTCTTGTCTTTGCTGCTGCATGCTTTTATATTAATTGATTTTGTCAACGTTTCTGATGTTTTAGTTACAATACTGTAGTAATTAGTATTTGTAAACCTATTTCAATATTTTTTTTTTGAAAATTAAGTTACAACTAAAGGAAAAGGAGGAAAATCAAAATAGGTTTCTGCTCAGCCACTACGTCACAGAGCCCTGTTGTTCCAAGGTTGAGCCATATACTACCTCTTGAAATGGTTTATTATCCTAATAAATCTCATAACTGTGAATATTGTGTCTGAGTTCTTCTGAGTCATTGTAATGAATTATTGAACCCAGTTGAGTAGAAAGTGCTGTGGTAGGGATGGTTTGGTGTAATGTTTTTTTGCAGTTTGGGGTCAGAAGTGAGATTTGTTCCAATGGCTCCAGATTCAGGAAAACATGGGTTTTGTAAGAGAAATAATGAAGGGACATGGGATGTAAAACTGTTTATTCTTAGAAGGTCATTTTGATGGTTAACTGTAATGTATCAAAGAAATGTAAAAAATATTATGCTGCAATTGAGGGGAGAAAAGCTGCTTATTGAAGTTGCCTGGGTGGTTAAACAAGATGACTAATAAAGGGTCAGGGCCTATAAGATTATCCTGCAATCCAGAAAGGCCCATGGTTGTATGCACATGTGTGATAGAATAACTACTGAGTATCTTGACTATGTTGTTGTTGTTGTTGTTATGTGCCGTGGAGTCGGTTTCGACTCATAGCGACCCTGTACAGGGTTTCCGAGGCTGTAAATCTTTACGGGAGCAGAAAGCCTCATCTTTCTCCCGTGGAACAGCTGGTAGTTTCGAACTGCTGACCTTGCAGTTCACAGCCCGATTCATAGCCACTACGCTACCAGAACTATAGAGAGTTTGTATGCCTACCTTCAGCCTATACTTGATTGGGTATGCTAAAAGGGAAGTTAAAACTTGTATAGAAGACACAGCCTTTCTTTTTTAAGCATATGTAGAGTAAGGGGCTTAGATAGAAACCTGAGCTCCACCCAGAACTGCTGTGAGAATAGATTTATCTGTGAAGGAAAGATCTACCCAAAGAAAAATGATGGCATTTTGAATTTCAAAAATTAGTTTGCATTGAGACAAGAAAATTCTGTGCCCATCAGAGAAAACTCCCTTCTAGGCCTGAAAGTTATAGGGAGTTGGTGAACAGACAGCCTGTTATTATTATTGTGATGACCACCTGGATCCACCTGATGCATGGAAGTCAGGGAAAATGAGACAGTAAAGTGAAAGGTTGAGAGAGAGTAGGAACCTACTGATATGAAGTGCAGAGAGGTGTATATGGATTATGTGTATACTCCCAAGCTTACAATTGGTATCCATTTGACCTAGCTAGGATGAATAGGGATGAATTGACCAGAACTAAAAGGAAGACCGTAGAAGAATTGATGCTACTGAGTTATGGTGTTGGAGGAGAATATTGAAAGTGCCATGGGCTGCCAAAAGAACCAATAGATCCGTTTTGGAAGAAGTACAGCCAGAGTGTTCCTTGGAGGCTAAGATGGCCAAACTTCATCTACTTCAGACATATTGTTAGGAGGGACCAGTCACTGGAGAAGGATATCATGTTTGGTAAGGTGGAGGGTCAGACAAAAAGAGGAAGACCCCCAACAAGATGTATTGGCCAAGTGGCAGCATCAATGGACTCAAGCGTGGCAACAGTAGTGAGGTTGGCCCAGGATCGGGCAGTGTTTTGTTCTACTGTGCATAAGGTCGCTATGAATCGGTACTGACTCAATGGCACCTAACAACAACAGCAACAACTTAATGAAGAGAGAGATGTGTGGCATTGTGAATGTAAATTGATGCTATTTTGATGGCTTGCTCTAGACTAGATATTTCTTGTAGATGTAGATGCTCAGTGTTCCAACTGTAATGGAAGTATCTTCAGCTCAAGGAGCATGCTTGTCTCCTCAGTACTGGGTTGATAGGGATGGACAATTTAGAAACTGGATACCTAAAATGGGGAGAGATAAAAGCATGAAGTGACTGGCTTACATGCTTTCATGCTGTGCTTACACTTAAAATGATATGGGGGAAATGAATCCATCATATATGAAAGGGCTAGAAGAGTTAAGAGAAACCTATGATGTAGTGAATTACTTATTACATCTTTTAGGCATAGTCTGTAGCTCCCACCAGACAACACTTTTGCCCTGCTGGGTCTGAGTAAGAGACGGTGGGAAAAGATGCTGATGGGATTATATTATTACTTTGTGACTAGTCAACAGAGATAACTGAT